TTAATCTTTCAAAATAACGGACCTGAGTGCCTCTATCTGCCCATGTCTCAAAGAAAAGCTCAAATCTAAATCATTCAATTCAATTCAAAGACACTTTATTAATCCCAGAGGGAAATTAGAGTTTCAGTGCACAAAATTCTAAGAATTGGTGACTGTGGTCATTCGCAACCCGAGTCGGGCTACCTCATCAAAAGTTCATGCCAAAGCTGTTTCCGACGAGCGCCGTTCCTAAGCAGCCAGCATCGTTGCAGGTTTGCTCTGCTGCCATAATCATAAAAAAGAAAAAGCTTTGTCATAATTGTGAAAAGCCAGCCCGGCACCCCTCTACAAACAAAGCTTGCTGTTATTGGTAAATGGCCTGTATTTGATATAGCGCCTTCTAGAGTCTGGAACCACCCAAGACGCTTTACAACACAATCAGTCATTCAACCATTCATACACACATTCACACACTGGTGGGGATGAGCTACAATGTAGCCACAGCTGCCCTGGGGCGCACTGACAGGGGCGAGGCTGCCGAGCACAGGCGCCGCTGGTCCCTCCGATCATCACCAGCATGCAAGGGGGGTTAAGTGTCTTGCCCAAGGACACAACGACAGTGACTGAGCGAGGCTCGGGCCTGCAACCTTCCAATTATGGGGCGAGCACTTGACTCCTGTGCCACCGTCGCCCCCTTATTGACCCAACCTACACTAATCTGAGCCAGTGGTGGACCTGCTGAGGCTACAAGCGTGGCTAGACCAGCCTGCAGAGCAATGTTTCGCTACCATTTGTCTAGATTTTTAGGCTACGGTAATGCATGTTGGACATGTCCCAGATTAATTTACATTTACACTGTGGGCCTATTTTTATGTGCTACGCTACCAGAACTCTTCAAGCTCAGCAATTCAAATCATAAAGCAGTGTATAGCATATGGCAACTTTCTAAATGAAAAGCACCTGCAGATATCTTACTGCTTAACTAAGACAAAACTGCCATTATCTGTGACAAGTCCATGTTCGAGGTAAGAAGAACAGTGTAAAAAAACCACAGCCCATTTGGATACAATGATGCCATCTTTCTCCTCATTTGTTATCACCAGGGTGGCCGATATGGCCTTAAATCTATGATGCGTCCTAATTTGAATCATGTACAGTACTGTACTGATATTCGTCTTAATGTTGTTATTGCCTTTGTCTTTTTTCTGCTGCAATACATCCGGTATGTGCCATAAATGAACAGTCAATGTGAAAAAACATATTAAGAAAATACGTATTTTTTATCTGCTTTTATAATTATTGCCTCATTTTTTATGTTGTGAAGTTTATGAAGTGTTGGTTCAGTAGTGAATAACTGCATGTAAAATGATGCTCTGCTGCATGTTTTGTGGACAGCAGTAATACGATCATTGAAACCACATCACAGGCAAAGCCCACAAACCCTGGATCACAGTGCTTTAATTGTGCACTAAACAATATTAAGGGAATGTTTCATTAATACTCTAAAAATGCAAATACACTCACTTTACAGTCGCACAATATATTTTGCAAAGGAAGTTTTTTTTTTTTTTTGCTTAACATCCAACTCCTTCACCTAAACCAGATCCATGTAACCAGTATTGCCCCGAAGCACTTCCTCCTTCACCTGCACCAAGCTTGCAGCATCAGCTGCTGCAGTCGTGCAGCTTGACATTGGGCATGCACAATCGCAGTAGGCCGCTAGATACAAAATCTCTATCCTTGAATACATTTATAAAATTTCTACATTTGCCATTTATTTTGCCCATTACTAGTTATGAACTCTCTTGTGATCTCGCAGCACCAGCTGCGTGAAACACACCGCGTGTCTGAGACGCTCCCAGTAGGACGGGCCGCTCTGCTGAGGTCGCAGTGAAACCGGGTCTATAACGTTAAGAGGGAAAGTCGTGGTCAGCATCCACCCTTCTATGTCCAGCCCTTCATCTCATTTCTCGCACACCTCAAATCAATGTGGTCAGCTTCCCGATGGAGTTGAGATTCTTCTCTTTCGGTTTTTACATTTCTTGTAAAGAGAGAGAAAGGTGATGTGGATTCTACATGATGAAACTGGGACATCAGTTTTGGTTCCAGAAGCTTCTATAAGGATGCTGATGTTGTATGTTATGCGAGTTCCTTTTCAAAGCATTTTCCTTCATTTTCACCACATCTGTCAGCAACCTCCTTTTCATGTTGAGATTAGCAGCTTAGAGTCAGATGTTGTTTAACGGCTGCCACAGGTGTCACTGCAGGCTTTTCCACCGTACGATCCTCCTATGCCTTCATTTTATTTTTACTCGCATCTCACAGTAGGATGTGGATTATTTTAAACGAGTCACGTGCATTGCTGTGTGGTTATTTTGACTCGTTTCTGCTCAATTTAACGGGTGGACCTCGGCAGCTGCATCAAACTGAAAAAGCATCTCAGCAGAGCCTGTTGGCTGAAACACTGCTGAGTGAATTAGATGTGATGTTAGCAAGAGGAAAGCAGCATAATTGTTCAGATATTAAAGCTTGAGCATCACATTCATAAAACAGAATACATCTGCAGGCTGTTTAAAATCGTCTAATGAGCAAATATTCAAAAGTGTGATACAAAAATGAAAAGGAAGTGTGCAGATTTAATAATCTAATTATCAGATGAGGTTTACATGCAGGTTATGTGAAGTAAAAATAAACATCGACCTCTGCAGCGCATGAATATCTTTTGATTCCGCTCTTCAAAGTGAGAGACTTGCATGTGCAATCCCCCATAAAAAGAACCTAGGCTTATTACTAGATGTAACCTTTCCACACATGGTGGATGCTTTCCTCTGCCTGAAGCCATTAAACGACATCCTCTTGTGTAGCACGGATCCCTCACATCACTCCAGAGCCCACTCTGTTTATTTTCTAACCCTGATGGCTGAAATTGATAGAAACACAAAGTTAAGAGTTGCTGTTTCCTACATTTCCAGTGTTGATATTGTTTTAACAAAGAGAAAAAAAGATGTATTTTTTCACTTCATTTTTTAAAAAGTGTGCAAATGCCCTATTTAATAAATAATCAACTTCATGAAAATGTATCACTGCGTGCGTGCATCTACTTGTAGATCCCTGCGATGTATTTGTGATGTCTAATGTGCAAACAAAGTGGAGGTGTTGGTGATTGTGAGCATGAAGTGCATGGCATAAAATACATAATATAAACAACATGACTGCAAAATATTTCTGTTTTCCCCACATTATCATGCAAGAATTGTAAATTAAAACATAATATACTGAAGACCAATGTTTATTAAAATCATTAAAATATAGACTTGATTTGAATTTTTAATTCTGTTTGGCCCAGCACCAATCCATGCACCAGTACTGGTCCTTGCCCCAGCAGTTGGGAACCTTGTGTTAGAAAAAAAAAACACTTTGATAAATGAAGCCGGGAGAAGATATTATATATTGGATAATCTCTCTGGCCCTCTGTGAGATTTCTCCACTGCAGTGAGTGAAAATTTATGCCCTAATATTGTTGCTCAGTGTGTAGTGTACACACACACACACACACACACACACACACACACACACACACACACACACACACACACACACACACAGGTTATTTAGGAGAACACAAGGTAAAGTTGGTTCTTCATGATGCTCTCTGCAGTCCGATGAAAATTCTCATGAGCTCAAATAAAACACATTACTGAGAGTTCTGTATGTTCTTCAGGAGAAGAGCAGAAAACTGATGAAGAGCGAAAGCATCATTGAATGGATGCAGTGAAACACCTGAACGAGCAGCTCGGCACAAGCTGATCCTGCAGCTGTTTGTACAACAGACTCCGCTCACCTCCAAGATATTTGTTTGCATTAATTAAAATATTCCCCAGATTAAATCACCAGATTCTTTAATGATTTCTACTTTTATAAACAGTCCTCTTTTTTCAGGACTGTGTTGTGAAAAATGAAAAATGAAAGCGAGGATTGGCCATTTTCCCTAGAGATCTAACTGTGTATAGCCCCTGAGTGTGAGTGCTGGTTGGCTAGTGTTGGCACTGGAAGTAGCCATCAGAAGATGGGTTCATGTGGGATGGAAATGGTCAGCAACAAAAGTCAGGTAGTTTATCCGACTTTTCTTTAGATCGTTCTCTGTAAATGTTACAGAGGTAGGCGAAAATCCCAGCAGATCAGAAGGTTCTGGTAGCAGCAACCATGCCCTTTTCAAAGACTCCCAAATGGCCTTTCTTCTCTGTTTCATGCTCAGCTTGAACTTCAGCGAAGTGTCTTCACCGTGTCTAGATGAATAATGTATTAAGTTGCAGCCATGTAACTGGCCAATCAGATACTTGTGTTAAAACCTGATGGAACAGCTGTACCTAATAAAGTGGCCGGTGTGTTTGTGCGTGGATGTAACCTCTGGTAGCCTCTTGAAAATAATAAAACAATCCCAACAAAGAACATAAGCAACATTTTTGTCGCGTTTTTTTTTTTTTTTTTACAGATACAAACGTTGGTTTCCAAACAGACCACTAAAATGAACCCTTATCTGATTGGATGTTGCGCAGCATCAGCACCACACACGGATGTGTGTGCCTGACGAGCCATTGGGGGGGCTACAGTGCTGCAATAAACTCCAGAGAAAAACAGCCTGAGAACTTGCAGCTTTAGAAACAAACGGGAACGCTACTGACTTCCTTCATCCTGACTCTTAATCCTTCCGATAAAAACTTTATCAAGTGGTTGGTTTTTTAAATGATGTACCGGTGCGTGTGAATGCAATTTAAGATTTTTGTTCCATTTGGTTAGATAACTTGCTTTTATTTATTAGACTATGGACATTTTAGCATTTTATCTAATAACGGTGCTGAACGGAGCTGTTTCGGCAATCATCACTTTTTTCCTAATTAAAATCAGGATAAATGTTAGATTTTGATGCACCAAAAAGGAGAAACACCCCGTCACCCGACGCTGTCTCTGCACACACCGACGGAACCTGTTTACCGTCGTTCACAAAACATAAAACAACTTACCTTCGCAGCAAAGTCCGCCTGTAAATCCAGTCAGTGTCAAAAAGTCGAGTTTGCCCTCGAAGAATCCCCCCGACTCCTCTCAGACTAAACGTTCCTGGGAAGTTTGGAGGAATGAAAGTAGTTGAACGCCAAATTCTTCCGCTCCTGCAGCTTGTAGTACTGTACCATCTGTTGTGCCAGTGCGCGTCGAGCTCTGCGCGCCGCGTGAGGAGAGCAGGGAGGGGGAGGGGAGGCTGTGAGGGGTCCAGAGCGCATATGTAAATGGCTCAGAAATAAAACAACTACATGTAATAAACATAAGCAGCCCATAATAATGGTTTTTAATTGTTGTTCTGTTAAGCAAAGAAACTTCAGCAGGTCCAAACAGTAAAACGTGCAGGTAATGGAAAATGGACTAATCTGCTCATCATATTAAGGCAAAATGTTGAAAATATTAAATATACAAGCTCTCATTTCTCTTCTTTTGAATTGTAGTTTTTACATCTTCAGCTGAATGCAAATACCTTTAAAACTCGATTCACGAGGAACACATTTGAACATTAAATAGACCTTTTTACTCAGAGGATTGGCACGAGAGGAAGACTACTCAGACATAAATTAAATCTCATTTTGCACAATTGGCATCAAATTCCTCCTCCTTGAACCGTCACCTTATCGTGGTGGAGGAGTTTGAGTGCCCTAATGATCCTAGGAGCTATGTTGTCTGGGGCACTTAGTGCCCCTGGTAGGGTCTCCCATGACAAATTGGTCTTAGGTGAAGGGTGAGACAAAGAACGGTTCGAAGGATCTTTCATGGCGGTTAAAACGAAGAGTCGGAGTACCCGGCCCGGAGGGTTACCGGGGTCCCACCCTGGAGCCAGGCCTGGGGTTGGGGCCCGTGAGCGAGCGCCTGGTGGCCGGGCTTTCGCCCATGGGGCCCGGCCGGGCCCAGCCCGAACCGGATACATGGGCTCGTCCAACTGTGGACCCACCACCCGCAGGAGGAACATGAAGGGTCCGGTGCAATGTGAATCGGGTGGCAGACCAAGGCGGGAGCCTTGGCGGTCCAATCCCCGGACAAGAAAACTAGTTTTTGGGACATGGAACGTCACCTCGCTGGCGGGGAAGGAGCCGGAGCTTGTGGCAGAGGTTGAGCGGTACCGGCTAGATATAGTCGGACTCACCTCGACACATAGCATTGGCTCTGGAACCCGAGACCTGGAGAGGGGTTGGACACTCTACTTTGCTGGAGTTGCTCCGGGTGAGAGGCGGAGGGCTGGGGTTGGCTTTTTGTTAGCCCCGAGACTCTCTGCCTGTGTGTTGGGGTTTACCCCGGGGGACAAGAGGGTAGCTTCCTTGCGCCTTCGGGTCGGGGAACGGGTCCTGACTGTTGTTTGTGCTTATGGGCCAAATATCAGTTCAGAGTACCCACCCTTTTTGGAGTCCCTGGGACGAGTGCTAGATAGTGCTCCATCAGGGGACTCCATTGTCCTGCTGGGGGACTTCAATGCTCACGTGGGCAATGACAGCTTGACCTGGAGGGGTGTGATTGGGAGGAACGGCCCACCTGATCAGAACTCGAGCGGTGTTTTGTTATTGGACTTCTGTGCAAGCCGCAGTTTGGCCATAACGAACACCATGTTCGAACATAAGGATGCCCACCGGTACACTTGGTACCAGGGCAGCCTAGGTCACAGGTCGATGATAGATTTTGTAGTCGTATCATCTGACCTGCGGCCGTATGTTTTGGACACCCGAGTGAAGAGAGGGGCGGAGCTGTCAACTGATCACCACCTGGTGGTGAGTTGGATCAGATGGCAAGGGAACATGCCGCGTAGACCTGGCAGACCCAAACGCATAGTGAGGGTCTGCTGGGAACGCCTGGCAGAAGAACCTGTCAAGATGGTCTTCAACTCCCACCTCCGGCAGAGCTTTGACCACGTCCCGAGAGCAGTGGGGGACATTGAGTCCGAGTGGGCCTTGTTCCACTCTGCGATTGTCGAGGCGGCTGTTGCTAGCTGTGGTCGTAAGGTGGCCGGTGCCAGTCGTGGTGGCAACCCCCGTACCCGCTGGTGGACACCAGAGGTTCGGGGAGCCGTCAGGCTGAAGAAGGAGGCCTACAGGGCGTGGCTGGTCTGTGGGTCTCCGGAGGCAGCAGACAGGTACCGGATAGCCAAGCGGGGTGCAGCAGTGGCAGTTGCCGAGGCAAAATCTCGGGCGTGGGAGGAGTTTGGTGAGGCCATGGAGAAAGACTATCGATCGGCTCCAAAGAGGTTCTGGCAAACTGTCCGGCGCCTCAGGAGAGGAAGGCAGCAACTCGCTCACACTGTTTACAGTGGGGATGGGGAGCTGCTGACGTCAACTGAGGCTATAGTCGGACGGTGGAAGGAATACTTTGAGGAGCTCCTCAATCCCACCAATGCGCATTCCGAGGAGGAACCAGAGCTGGGAGGCCTGGGGATGGACTGTCCGATCTCGGGGGCAGAAGTTGCTGAGGTAGTCAAACAACTACACAGCGGCGGAGCCCCGGGGGCGGATGAGGTTCGTCCTGGGTATCTCAAGGCTATGGATGTTGTAGGGCTGTCATGGTTGACACGTCTCTACAACATTGCGTGGTCATCGGGGGCAGTTCCTAGGGAGTGGCAGACCGGGGTGGTGGTCCCCATCTTTAAGAAGGGTGACCTGAGGGTGTGTTCCAACTATAGGGGGATCACACTCCTCAGCCTCCCTGGAAAGGTCTACTCCAAGGTACTGGAGAGGAGGGTCCGATCGATAGTTGAATCTCAGATAGAGGAGGAGCAATGTGGTTTTCGTCCTGGCCGTGGAACTGTGGACCAGCTCTATACCCTTGCAAGGGTGATGGAGGGGGCATGGGAGTTTGCCCAACCAATCCACATGTGCTTTGTGGATTTGGAGAAGGCTTATGACCGTGTCCCCAGGGGCATCCTGTGGGGGACGCTCCAGGAGTATGGGGTGGGTGGCTTTCTGTTAAGGGCCATTCAGTCCCTTTACCAGAGGAGCGTGAGTTTGGTCCGCATAGCCGGTAGTAAGTCGGACCTGTTCCCAGTGAGGGTTGGACTCCGCCAGGGCTGCCCTTTGTCACCGGTTCTGTTCATCACTTTTATGGACAGAATTTCTAGACGCAGCCGTGGTGTGGAGTGTGTCGAGTTTGGTGGCAGGAGAATCTCGTCTCTGCTTTTTGCGGATGATGTGGTCCTCCTAGCTTCATCCAGCTCTGACCTTCAGCTCTTGCTGGGTAGGTTCGCGGCCGAATGTGAAGCGGCTGGGATGAGGATCAGCACCTCCAAATCTGAGACCATGGTTCTCGACCGGAAAAGGGTGGCTTGCCACCTCCGGGTCGGGGGAGAGGTCCTACCTCAAGTGGAGGAGTTTAAGTATCTCGGGGTCTTGTTCACGAGTGAGGGTAGGAGGGATCGGGAGATCGACAGGCGGATTGGTTCGGCATCTGCAGTGATGCGGACGCTGAGCCGATCTGTCGTGGGGAAGAGGGAGCTGAGCCAGAAAGCCAGGCTCTCGATTTACCGGTCGATCTACGTCCCAATCCTCACCTATGGTCATGAGCTTTGGGTAATGACCGAAAGAACGAGATCGCGGATACAAGCGGCCGAAATGAGTTTCCTCCGTAGGGTGGCCGGGCTCAGCCTTAGAGATAGGGTGAGGAGCTCGGACATTCGGGAGGGACTCGGAGTAGAACCGCTGCTCCTCCGGATCGAAAGGAGCCAGTTGAGGTGGTTTGGGCATCTGGTCAGGATGCCTCCTGGACGCCTCCCCGGGGAGGTGTTTCGGGCATGTCCTGCCGGCAGAAGGCCCCCGGGTCGACCCAGGACACGTTGGAGAGGTTACATCTCCAATCTGGTCCGGGAACGCCTTGGGGTCCTGCCGGAGGAGCTGGTGGACAAGGCCGGGGAGAGGACGGCCTGGAGCTCCCTAGTTGGGATGCTGCCCCCGCGACCCGGACCCGGATAAGCGGAGGAAGACGAGACGAGACGAGACGAGGCATCAAATTCACAATAAGCCAATGCACATGTATGCACTAAAAGTCTAAATGAGCTGTAAATCTGGAGAAACGTTGTGTCACGGTTTACGTCAGTGGGCTTTAAGTTTATATAATTGACTTTGGGACAAATAAAAATGTTGATACATTTAACAACAGCAAATGTTCTTTTCTGCCAGGAAAAAAAATCTGTTTTCCTTGTGTCACAAACCAACACATTCTTACTCCCAGCGCGTCAAAAACAAACGCTTGGTCAGCCACCCTCCACGTCAGACCACTGACGCCAAAAGTGCCCTTTTTCGTTACTTATGTGCGAAAAGGGGTTTTCCCCTTATTTGACTGCAGATTCCAATGCAGCGTTACACTGACGTGATGGGATGTCCGTAGCCAGGGCACCAAACAAGCTCATTGTACCTCACCTTAACCTTATCCACTTATTTAACCTTACCCTCACCCCTATCCTAACCTTAACCATCTTGTTAGCGAACACGTTAGTGATGTGTCGATCGCTCTAAAAGCCGGCTGTATGAAGTGAACGGTGGGAGCCGCCTCGTCATTGGTCGAGTTTGGACCGAGCCAACGCGAGGGGGAGGTTTCAACTATCACGGTGGAGGTTAAAAGTAGAGGGTATGTGTAACCTCCCCCTAACATTCCCCTTGGGCGGCAAATACGAAAATTCACAGTCAGAATGCATGGGAAACAGACGCTTGATCACAGTGAGAGTAACGTTTTAGGTAGCAAGAGGGTTAAGGTTAGGATGAGGAAGAGGGGAAGGTTATAAATAGTGAAACGTTAAGGTTTAGGTGCGGTTAAATGAGCTGGTTTGGTGCTGCATCGGTTAAATGAGGGTTAAGGGGATGTTTAACCACAGCACCGGAGTTTATTCAAAAAATAACTAACTAAAAATGTCACTAGCTTTAAGCCAGTCAAAATAAAATAGTTGCCGGAGCTAGGGCCAGAGAGATTCTGCAGCCTGATCTGGGCACTGTAGGGAACCCTCCACTTCCGCAGAACCGTCCTCCTTGATCACACTGCCTCCTTTAGGTCGGTGGTCTGCCACGCCGCGCCGTCATTCTCCTTGATCGCTTGCCTCGTGCAGGTCAATCGCTCACTCGGCCGCACCACTGCGCCGTGCTGTCGTCCTCCTCAGTCGCGGGCCCCGCCTGTCAGTGAGTTTAGACGGCAGTCACTGCACAATCACATACCACAGGTCACA